CACTTTGCTTCTGCAGTGGACAGAAGTAAACAGAAGCAAAACTAGTCTTCTGAGTCCATTCTGGCCTATTCCCTCAGTCTTTCACAGTGGCTCAGGTGCTGTGTTTCAGAGTAGATTAAATCATGTTTCTCTTTTACTTACACCATTCAATAACTGGCTCCCCCATACACATAAAATAAATCCACATTGCTTACTAAGGCTCTGAGATAATTTTTGGGTCAGTCACCTACTACCTTTGTCTGTCTCATTTTATAGGAATACAAAGTATTTCAAGCTGAGGATTTCTTTAATTTTGTTTTCCTGTATGCCAGTTTTTGAATAATCTCTGTCTTAAGTGAATCCCTCATATTTGTGCATTCTTGTGTTAAACATTTATGATTTTCATATGTATATTCAATGATTATTTTTATTAATAGTTTTTAATTTCAAGGGATCAAGATAGAAGTGTCAAAATGCTTTTCTATTTTCAAGGGATCAAGATAGAAGTGCCAAATGTTGTGAATCAGAAACTAACCTATCAGGGGCCGGGGAGATGGCTCAGTAGAATAAGCGTTTGCCTGGCAAGCGCAAGGGTCTCAGTTCAATCCCTGGTTCCACCAAAAAAAAAAAAAGAAACTAACCTATCAAGCATAGTTATTTGAAGTTCGTGAATTTAGTATTCATAGAAGAGAATCTAAACAGTAAAGCAAAAGATAATTTTGAAACTCTAGTATTTATTAAGTAATTAATATGGCTTATAATTGAGTGGCTAGGTACTATAAAAATTTGAAATGTATTTTATCAGAATTAATATGAGAGATGATCACAAATACTGTTTTCCATAAGTTTTATTATTTGCAGAAATACATATTTTTAGGGTTAGTTAATACTAACTGGCTCTACAGATAAAATACAGATCATCTAGCTGAATTTGAGTTTCATAGTATAAAAGGAATGATTTTAGTGTGATTATGTTCCATACAATATTTTAAAGATATTAAAAGTTGATTTTTGTATTTGAAACTTAAATTTAAGTGGCTGGGCATCATGGTTTTTTACTTGTTAAATTTAATGCCCAAAGATAACAATGTGTAATACTAGGGTCATGCTTGGAATACCTATCATTCTGGTCTTCTAAACATGTACTGCTTGTCATGTCATACCGATTATTGCTATACTGTCTCTCAAGTAAATGTTTGTTTAAAAAAAATAAAAGGATAGTAAATGAAAACAAGAGACAAGAAAAAAAAGTCATAGGACTGTCCTGCTACAATGCTGTATATGGTTAGATTTCTAAATTTCTGTGTAAAAATATCCTTAACTGGATACATAGTCTAGCAACCTAACTTCCTAAGAATATGACAAACAGCTGCTAAGGGACTTGACAAACTCACTATTAACATAAGCTTCATGCCTCAAATTGCAGACATCTTTACTCACTGTTAGAGACAGAAGCTTATTTCAGTATGTTACTGCTTTCTTTCTTTGCCCCCCACTTTTTTATTTTTTAATGAATTTAAGAATGTCTACAGTGTGTACAGGGTCTCACTACATAGATTGGATTCATAGCAATTCTCCTGTTTTCAGCCTTCCAAGCTCTGGGATTGCAGACACGGTGCCACCATGTCCAGTCTCAGTCGTCATCTCAGCATGCTGTGGGGTCAGGGCCAGCAGAGCACGCCAGGATTGAACCCTGGCCACTGCACTCTGGGGAAGCAGGTGCTTTAGTCTGCTGAGCTATCTAGTCAGCCCCCCCCCACTTTTAATTATGAATTTTTTTCCTGTTTACTCCATTTAATTCTAGATTACTTTTCAGCTATCACAAGTCACTTGCTATTTGCCTTTAAAAAAAAATCTTTGTTCTAGATGTTTGTTTAAATCAAGGGCATAGATGGTGTAGTATCTGATTGTAACACTAGGTGGTAGTAATTGATTTTAGAAATTGTGAAACCTTGATTAATTAGTAGAAGGTTGTATTCTCAAATATTTTCATTTCTGGTCAGTATGGATGATATGATATGTTGTTTTGGAGCTTTTGGATGGGTTTAACATCAAAAATATTTCAAAAGCTGCTCAGATAGTATTATACAATGAGACCAAAAATCATTCCAGGATAAGAAACTTAGGACATGGCATTATTTCCTAAAGTCATATACTTTGAGAAGCTCTGGCAAGAGGAAAAAGTAAGAGACTAACCAAATATTTTCATTCTCTGGAAAGTTTTGTTCCTTGTAGAGGAGCCTGGTTATCCCTAAGGAAGTGGGTGATGAGAATTCTTTAGGTTCAAGTATCATCTTTCTAAACATTATTTCATTTGAGACTTAGCTTTCATTAACCAACTAATATATTTTGGTTATGCATTCAATATTTAATGTTACAATTACTTAGTTGTCTGCTGTGAAGGAATAGGGAGAAGGTGCTCTATTTTCCATTTTCATAATTCTCAAGTTACCATCACTAAGCAGTGGATACATAGCAACCTGAGGAAAATGTATTAAACATCCTTTGAACAAGAAAAAATCCCACACATTACACTGTATATTGCTGGAGGAAAGACATGGGCTTGTGTACATAGGAAATATACTTGTCCTCCAAAGTCTGTTAGGATAGGTTAGAGACACTCGCACAGTGCTCACAGTGTCATCCCACAAAAGGTAGGGTAGTGTTAGTTGGCAGTACCCACAGTAACATGCCCAAAGTCTCACAGGATGAAGGATTTACCCAAGGCACGTGGCCACTTACGTAGAGAAGAGCAGAACTGGGAGCTGGCGCCTGCCTTTGTATTTGCCGTGGGTTTGCGTTATCTGCCCTCTGCAAGCAGGGCGTGGTGAAAGAAGGCACAAAAGAGCTTCTGCACTCTGACAAGCATTCTATTCCACCATCGGACTTAATCTTGATATCAGAGTTAAATTCTATCAGCTTAAAATAAAAAGAATAAAAGCCTATTTCTTCATTTCTTGACTGAAGTAAATGACTCTTCTCATTTGCCCATAAAGAGAAGCCCAGTATTATTTAACCTTTTCCCTAATGTGGTAACATTAAAAATACTCTACTTATGAATTTAGCAAACAAAAAATAAATTTGAACTGGAAATGCCACAGAGAAGTACCATTATGTTCATAAATCAACCTCACGTTATTCAATGCAACCTAAGGGGCAGCTTTTGTACAGCACAAAATATGAACTACACATTTCTGAAAGGTCATGGAAACACTAGGAGACAAGAAAGTGAATTAGTGAAAAATGAATTCACTACAGATTTTTACATTAGAAGTCAATGTGAACTACACATTTCTGAAAGGTCATGGAAACACTAGGAGACAAGAAAGTGAATTAGTGAAAAATGAATTCACTACAGATTTTTACACTAGAAGTCAAAGTTAATACAGTTTCTTAACTAAAAGAGTACTATCGATCTCCTAGGATTGGAAAACTGTAACATTAAAATAACTTGCTAAATATTTCATATAACTGTTTGAATTTTTCCTGCCACAAAGCAGATAAAAGGTTCTCCTTTCCCTCTGTGTATATAATTTGTTGTCTGCCTTAAAAAAGTAATTTCTTGAAAATGTATGTTCCTTCTTAATAAGAACCCCAGTGACTGAACAGCTAAAAAGGCAGAATCTAAAAGAGCTGAAAAAATTTGGCTTGGTATTAAATTATATTTTTGTTAGCATTAAAATATTTTCCAAGTGCACTATAAACGTTGATGTAAATTATTACTTTATAAAAGAATGTGTATTTTTGACAAATAAAATGACATATTTTTTTAAAAATTGTGAAATGTTTTGGTCATACACTCTTTATTTTCATCAACGTTATTGAGAACTCCAAAGATTCTTAGCCTACTGCTGATAGGCCAACAATGATCAACATCTCTCATGTCAGGAACTGAAAAAATTTAAAAATATATGCTAATTCATTGTAAAACAAACTCTTGTGCCCGCTTCATCCCTGTATAACGTTCTCTGTGCTTGTTCTGTCTTTTCAGTCTCCATGACATTGACACTCATCTTTATGCTGATTTCCAAATCACTTAATTTGAAAAAAACTATTTTTCAAAACAGAAGTCATAGTGGCATTGTTTGACATTTTTGCATTCCCTGTAATTTCTCATTTGTTGACATGTCTGTCTCTGATTTCAGTCTTTTGTGATACAACACAACATTTAGCCTCCAAAAATCGTCTCTACTGTTGTGACGGTCTAAGAGCAAAAAAAGGCAGTTAACATTGTATTACAAGAAGTATTTGATTTGATGGAATCTCTTAAAAGGCCCTGTAAAACACAGAAATCCACGATCCTGATATATACTGTGATAGTCTGTATGCTACCTTTTTAATTTGAACTCACATATCCCAAACATGAAACTGCCAGTTCCTGACTTTCACTGTATAGATACTGTGTACTCAAGAATGCTTAGTAAAATATTTACAACAAAATGCCCGAGTTAATGTTCTAACTGCATTAACTGATAAAATTATACCCTAATAGAAAGGTGGAAATGTCCAGATGGTGAAAAAATGCTAAATTATATATACATTTTACTTACTGTAGACACAAGTTTGAACCAAAAAAATGCTTTCTAGATGCATCTGTAGATGAAAATATGTTTTTATAGTTCTATTTAATGTATATGAGCTAAGGGCTGTAGTAGATGGACAGATTTTGTCATCAAAAGTCATGTCTTCAGTGTTCTCTTACTTCTTCATTCTCCATTCTTTGTCTTTTCTGCATCCATGATGTTAAGTCTTATTTCTCTCATGACAACTCTCAGATCTCTGCACAAGCTTGACTTTTGTCTGAAAAAGTCAATATTTGAAATATTAAAATGAACAGAGCACTGTAGTTTCTCCAGAGTTCTCTTTAACATTTTTAAGCTCATAGTTTTGAATAGAAGTAAAAAAAATCTTGGTATAGTATAGATATATATGCTTATTTATACACACATGTACATATCTAAGCACCTTTTAGATTATATACTAACATAATACTGTTTGGTTTTTTTCTTTGTTTTTTGCAGAACTTCTTGGTATACATGAGCAAGCAGCTGTAGGATTCTTAACATTAATGGAAGCTTTAAGATACTGTAAGGTAAATTCATTTTTAAGGTATTTTGGATGGCCTTTATTCACATATCCACTGCATGGTGGATATCCCTTTTGTTCCTGTGATGACACATTTTAACTAGTGACCATTGTTATATGCCAGTCTCTTCACTTCCTTCCAGGTCTTGCACCGTAAGCTGGCAGGTTGCTAACGATGGTTAAGCTGACTGACCATGCTGCATTTCCTGTGAGCAGAATAGGTGACAGAACCCACAAAAAATACATAAAAATGGAGATAACGATTATTGAATAGAAATGTATTTCATTAGTTAAAGAAAAAACACTGTTTTCATTAAAACAGAGTATGCATCTGTTTTTGAGAAATGTCTACACTGATTTCTACTGTGGTTGTACCTGCTTATAATCCTACCAACTGCGAGGAAGGGTTCCTTTTTGCCAAATTCCCAAGAGCGTTTGCTGTTGGCTGATTTCTTGATGATAGCCATTCTTCTAGGGCAAAAGGGAATCACAGTGCTGTTTTAATTTTCATTTCTCGAATGATCAATGATGTTGAACATTTTTTCCTATATTTGCTGTTTGTACATCATCTGAGAAGTGTCTATTCCAGATGATGTAATTTTATTTATTTTTTTTAGCTCTTTATTCTAGATAGTAATCCTTTGTCTGAGGAACAGGTGGCTAAAGACTTTTTCACACAGTGGGTTGTCTCTTCCCTCTGTTGCAGGTTTCTCTTGCTATGGAAAAGCTTTTTAATAAATGAGATCCCTGGTGTTGATTCTTTGTGATAGTTCCTGTGCACTCAGAGTTTTGTTCATGAAGTACAGCAGTGTCTTCAAGTGCTTTGCCTATCCTATCTTCCAATGCATTTAGTGTTTCTGTTTTAATATTCAGATCATTCATCCATTCAAGTTTGGTTTAGGGCATGAGGAAAGCTATGGGTCTCAGTTTAATCTTTACTCTTTAACATGTGGGAAACTCGTTTATCAGCACCCTGGGTTTTTTGTTTTGTTTTGTTTTTGTAAAGTGGCTGTCTTTCTTCCAGTGAAGGTGTTTGGCCTCTTTGTCAAAGATCAGGTGGTTGAATATGTTTGGAGTTGTTTCTGCATCTTCTAATCTTTTCTATTGATCTTTGGGTCTGTGTTTTGCCAGTACTATGCTGAGTTTTGTTTTGGTTTTTTCTAATCACTGTAGCTTTGTTATACAATTCTAAGTGGGGGGGGGGATTGTGATGCTGCCTTCCTTTGTTGCCCAGAATTACCTTTGCTATTCTAGGTCTCTTCTGGTTCCAAGTGAATTTTAGGATTGTTTTATCTAATTCTGTGAGATCTGCTATTAAAATTTTGATTGGGATTGCATTAAATCTATATAACTGCTATGGAAGTATGACCATTTTCGCTACATTGGTTCTTCCTACCCAAGAGTAAGGGATATCTTCCATTTTCAGATACCTTCTTTGGTCTCCTTTCAGAGTATTCTAATTTTCAATGTAATAGTCTTTTACTTCCTTTGCTAGATTGATTCCTTGGTATTTTGTTACCTTGGATGTTATTGTGAAAGGTGTTGTTTCCTAATTTTTCTCTGTGAGTTTGGTACAGGTTTGTGTACAGGAACATTGATTTTTGACTGTTGACTTTGCATCCAGCTAAGCTACTGAATTTGGTTATTAAATCTAGAACTGAGTTTCTGTTCAACCCAGCTAATCCCCTTCATATCTTCCTAAATGAATTAAAAGCATCACACCACAGGGATTTTTGCACATTCTTGTTTGTAGCAGCATAGTTTGTAATAGCTAAATCTGGGAAATAGCCAATATGCATGTTAACTGATGAATAGATAGAAAAAATGTGGGTTTTTTTTTTTAATACAATGAAGTACTATTCTGCCATGAGGAAGGATAAGCTTGAGACAATTCTAGTAAAATGGATGCCCCTTGAGGCCATACTCTCAAGTGAAGTGAATTAGATATACATGTGTAAGTACTGCATTGTTTCTCTGGTGTGAGAAACTGAAAGTGTAAGGCCCAGAGGTGTAAGAGATATTGAGAGTAGAAAGAAAGTGTTAAAATGGAAAGGGAAACTACAGAGCAGGGAAGGGGAAGGGTTGGGAGGGAAAAGGAAAAAAAAAGGATAAGGAAAAAATAGAAGCAAAGCCCTGTAAATAAGGAAGGGAAGAAGGGGTTGAAGGGAGGGTAGGGGAATAGAAAACAAAAAAGAATAAAGTTCTATCCTGGACAGGTACAAATTCTCTATAATGATTGTGTTGTTATGTAAAGAATAAGTCTCTATTAAAAAAATACATATAGGGGCTGGAGAGATGGCTCAGTGGTCTAAAGCACCTACTTAGAACAAGTTCAGCGAAGCACAGGGACCACGGTTCAATCCCCCAGCACCACATGCCAGCCAACCTGCCCCCTGGTGGGCTGAGCTGGCCACACACCCCTCTCTCTCTCTCTCTCTCTCTCTCTCTCTCTCTCTCTCTCTCTTTCTCTCTCTCTAATAAAAAAAAAATACATATATATATTTATATTTATATTACCAGCTGTTGTCCCTCCCCCCAACACATACCAATAGTGCCAAAACAACTGCAATACTATATCAGGTAATGGTAAAGAATTTTCATTGTGACTGAAATTCTTTTTTCTTTTCCATCTGAAAAGTGCTTTTATACACACTCAAAATTCCAAGCATTTCACATTAAACTGTTTATTTAGCACATGTGCTAGGGTTAGAAAATGCTCATTTATTGCTATATATTTACTTGCCTTCCTACACAATCTGAAATAACTATTGAGTATGTCAAGTAGTTTTGGAAGGGGTTTAAGTCTTTAATGGTTTGCACTTTCTAAAGTGTCATAATTTTGGAGATGAGAAGAGTTACAGTTTTATTTTCCCATTTTAAAGGAGTTCTATTGTAGTGTTTCTGATAGTAGTGGTAAGTTTTAGTAACTTCAGCAATTGTCATGGCTGTGTATATATGCTTGCTTGCATGCATGAATGTATGTATTGCAGAGGTGGTGCTGGTGGTGGTGTTATTGTTTGCCAGATAGTATCCCTCTTTTATGGCAACACTTAAATAGGTGATACACGAAGGCATGGGTTCCTATATCATAAGAAAGTATGTATATTAATGCCTGACTATGTGTGTGTGTGTGTGTGTGTGTGTGTGTGTGTGTGTGTGTGTGAAAGCATACATACTCATGTGTTTTGTAGGAGGCTAAATTATGGTGATTTTATATTTTGAAATCTTTACCACATCACTTATAAAAGAGTGAATTGCTCTCCTCCTGTGAGAGCAATTCCTGTGCTCCAGCCGCCCCCGCGCTCTCCCTTCCCTACACTTGCCCAGGCCTATACTTCTGTCGTGCCTGGAATATTGCTGCTCTGCAAGTGGATGGCTCACTCTCCCTTTTAACTTGTACTTCATATTGTGACTGACATTCCTTTAGTTACTCCTTTTCACATTCTTTCATAGGGGTAACTGCTCTATTTTGACCTTTTCAGTTGCTTTTAAAAGAATCTTTGTTTCTCTGTTATCTTCCCTAAAGGAATATAAACTTTTTAAAGGAAGGAACATTGTCTCACAGGATCCATATTCGGTGCTCAAAAAATATTTGTTAAATGAATGAATAATTTTACCAGAATTGATAAGGTTTTTTGAAATGTTGCTTTTGGTTTTTTTAGGTAAAATAGAAGAATGTATTTCCCTCAAAATCTTACTAGGAAGTTAATAGCTGCTGTATATTTATGTATTGGTTTAGTGTTATAGCAGTTACTTTTTTTTTTTTCTAACAAAGATAAAACATTTTTTAGTGGCACAGCACAGTATACTGATACATGGGTGGTGGAAAAGTAGAGAAGGGGAGGCTGCCGGGCAAGGCCATACAGCGGATATATCTGGGAACAGAATAACAGTCCGCTGGAGCTGTAGAAGTCATTACACATGGCAGTAGCATGGGGTGGGGTTAACTATGTTTCCTGATCTCCAGTGGAGCAGCCAATTTGAATGATTTCAGTAGGTTCTGAGCCTAGAGGGCTGCCTCTTGTCACCTGGTGTATCAGGGCAATTAAGGATGTGAGAGAAATGTAAGTGAAGTTACTGATGTGTGAATTTAGTCTGCAGTCCTTTTTAAGGAGACTAACTAGTTTCTAGCTAGGACTTCAAAACTGGACCAATATTTAAAAAAAAAAAACTATTATTAGACCATGATGTCACTTGTGTGAATTCTTATCATCTGTGTCAGTTTCTTTTGACAAATGTTTAGAGAAATGACATAAGGGAAATAATTATGTTTGTGTTATTGTCATAAATCTGGACATATTTTTTCACTGCATGATAGTGTAGCAGATTGATTTTTAAAAACGAAATTAAAATTTGCATATCATTTGGACCATACATTCATTAATATAAATTAAACACTACCACCATACAAACAAAACTCAACAAAGAAAAAGGTGATTCTTGGTGCTTTTTACTATGCTCTTTTTTTTAAAAAAAAAAAATGTATTCAGCACAGGGTCTACAGGGTCTCACCACATAGATCCAACTCGTAGTGATCCTCCTGTTTTCAGCCTCCTGAGCCCTGGGATTACAGACTTGCGCTACCATGCCTGGTCTCAATCCCTATCTCAGCGTGCCCTGGGAGGGGGGGATGGTCGCGGCCTGCAGAGTATGCTGGGGATTGAACCTCGGCCACTGCATTCTGCCTAAGCAGGTGCTTTAGTCTGCTGAGCTGTCTGGCCAGCCCTTTACTATGTATTTTTAAGAAACTAAAATTTTCACTCATATATTGTAAAATTTACCATTTTAAAGCACACAATTTAGTGGGTGTTAGTATATTCATAAGACTGTGTGCAGCCATCACACTTGTGTACTTCTAGACTGTTCTTATTACCTCAGAAAGAAGCTCTAACCCACTAGGCACCCCTTACTCATGCTTCCAGTCCCTACCGTTCTGCTTCCTGTCTCTGGTTTTCCATTTCCTGGATAGCCCATACAAATGAAATCTTGGGATATACAACCTTTGTGTCAGACTTCTTGTACTTAGCATGATATCGTCAATGTTCATTCATGTTTTACCATGTATTTCCTTTTTATAACCAAATAACACTGTTGGGGATTGAACCCTGGCTTCTGTGCTCTGCCTAAGCAGGCTCTTTAGTCCGCTGAGCTATCTGGCTGGCCCTTAACTATGTATGCACTACGTATGTAATGTGCAAATTTTGTTTACCTATTCATCACTTGAGGGATGTTTAGGTTATTTCTATTTTTTTAAACTATTCTGAATTATGCAACCATAAGCAATCAGGTATGTTTTGTAAACATGTTATTATTTCTCTTTAGTTTATGTTCAGGAGTAAAATGATTTGATTATATGACAATTCTATATTTAGCTTTTTAAGAAATTGTCAAACTATTTTTCAAAGTAAATATATTTATGCACTCATTTATTTTTATTATAAAAATACTACATAAATCAACCTTCACTTATGTTTGATCCTCTATATAAAATCTTACCTCTTTTTCTACTTCTAGCTCATTTCAAATACACGCACACACATGCACACACTTTCTGAAAGAGAAATGAAACAGTATCTAAATGTTTTTTCCATAGAAGGCAGATAGTAGCTAGGCCTATGTCTTGCGTATTTCTCAAGTTTCTTTTATATAATTGAAAGATTTGCATTGCTCACAGTTTACACTCTAAAACTGATGAGAACTTTTCCTCTTGCTTTAGTCTCTTCATGTTCTTCTCTGTAGTCCCCAAATTATGCTTTTTTTACTGACTCATTATTCTCACATGAACTCTCCTGACCTATCCCTTTTGTTATAGGACAAGCATATCTATTTTTCCATCCATGAATACAAAAGAGTACATATTTTCTGTTTCCTTCCTAGTAATAAGACTACACTTGACAGGGCCATGGTGGTGGGTCAAGCAGGGCCAGCCGGCTGATCAGGGAGTAATAATTGGCCGCGGCTTCCGCAAGCAGTCATTGAGTTTCCCAATTATAGTCAGTATGTGCAGAGGAAGAAATTCAGCAAATTTGGTAAGATAGTTGTTCTACATGATAATATGAACATGGGCTTGACTGTGTGGACAAGATGAACTGTATAGATCCATTTTGTTTTTTCAGTTTTAAACTTTCTTAGTTTCACACATACGGCAAAAAATACTTTCAAGTTTTTGATTACAGAAGTGTTTATTTAGGTATATAACCATGAAGGCAAACTTAATATGACTTTTTATAGAATTTAAAAACACTATTGATATTTAAATTTTTGAACTCTTCTATCATGAAAAGTCAAATGACAGAATTGTTCCATATTCTTAAATGTTAGAAGTGGTAGTTTTTTAATGAGAGAATTTCGTGTTACACTAGATTCTCTGATGAAATGAATGGTCTTATTTTTGTCTTTACTTATCTTCTTAATTTATAATTATTTTCCTTAAAAGTTTATCAAGTTTATGGCTTTGTGTTTGAGGTACCAAGTTGAAACTAGAAAAGTAGTCATTCTGTGTCACTTTAGTGAAAGTGGGTATCGTGCTAATGTACAGGTACAGTATAAGATGAGAATTTTTTTATATATGTGCAGATTTGATCTCTCTGGGTAAAGCAGTCTTTCACAATACATTATTATATTTAAATATGAGTTGACCATTTCAGTTTCAAATATTCTGGGCAAATATTTAAAGACAAAAGTTTTATGCAATCTGAAGAAAAATCAGAGTTATATGGGCAAATATTTAAAAGGTAGTACAGATTTTTTATTTGTTTTATTTTGCTACATTTTTCTAGGTTGGATCTTACTTGAAATCTCCAAAATTCCCTATTTGGATTGTTGGCAGTGAAACTCACCTCACCGTGTTTTTTGCCAAGGTATGCTTATAGAAGGATTAGTTTGTAGTATGACATCAGGCAAACAAAGACTAAAAGTCCATATTTAGTTTGGATCTTTCTACAAATGCCATCTATTCTTGATAATAACTGAGTTGTTCCAAAAATCCAGAAGGGAAAAAAAAAAAACTTACACTAACGAAACTATTGTACTGTTGCTTTAATTTTGAAATCATTTCAGTAAATGATCAGTCATTATTATTCCACAGATCACTTGTATTATGGAGGAAATAAAAATTGAGTTTAAGTTTTTGCTTTCTTTTTTTGTAAGTATAAAGATCTCATTTATGAAATATAAAATATTTAAATTATAACATTTTCTAAAATATAATTTTAAATATATTAATATTTCAGTGTTATTAAAGCCACATGTTCTGCAGGGTCTCACTACATAGAACAGACTCATAATGATCTTCCTGTTTACAGCCTCCCAAGTGCTGGGATTACAGGCATGTGCCACCATGCCCAATCTCAGTTGCTGTCTCAGTGTGCTCTGGGCGTGGGGCCTGCAAGGCTTTTTTAATTTTTTTAAAAAAATCTTTGTATTTATTTGGTACAGGGTCTCACTACCCAGCTCAGACTCGTATTGATCTTCTGCCGAATTATCTCCCAGCCCTTGATTATTATATTGAAATAGAAGAAATTTAAATATTTACATCAAAATTCATACAAGAATTTCTACTGCTGTTTCTAAATTTTTTTAACTATGTGTAATATTTTTCTACAACTGAGTGGTGAAGAGCTTTGGTGTGAGACACCCTCCATTTAATTCTCGGCTTGCCAGTTAGTAACATCTCTTATTCTGTTTTCTTATGTCCCTCTTGGAGATTAATAATAATACCCATCTGTTAGAGTTGTTGTCAAGCTTAAATGTAAAATATTGGCAGTGCCTAAGTATAAATTAAATGTATACCAAATCTTAGCTGTTATCATCTTTTTTATATTATTCAGTTACATTAATCAAACATCTGTTATCATAGGACAAGACCATTAGATGTGGAACTGAAGGGGAGAAATATAAAACGGAGTATATGAAGCTTCTTCTAACAGACTCTTGATTATTTCATGAATTTTACAATGTATTTGTCCATGTTTTTAAGCAAGTGTGAATTGTATAAATTGTACCAACACATGAATTGATAAAAGCTAAATTTTATTAATATAATTAATTATACAGTCTTCTTTTACTTTTAATGTGCTAGCAAAAATCTAAATAGGAGATTTAGATCAAGTTATATAGAGAGTATGACCTTTTCCATAGAACAGGGAAAGCTGTAAGTGTAACTCTTAAAAGTACTAGCCTTTTAGTATGAAAGCTTGTTGCTGTTTATTTCCTTCCCAAAGTGGGAAAGAAGTTAAGAACCAAATGTGAGCTATAGCAGCAGAAAAGAAAATCATTTTCCATTTTTAAACAAATATATTTTAAACCAGTTGTTTCAATCACCAACTTTGTTCTTTTTCAATAGGAAAACTATAAAGTTGTGTAACTTTTTTTATTTCTGAGAACAACTTTTATTTAAATAAAATTTGCACTAAATAATATGAAAACTTTTAGCTGCTCTTAATGTGAACCATTTAGAATGCTTGAATTCATACAGTTCTGTTGTTGTTTATTTTGTAGTCTCAGGATCCAAGATAAGAGTGTTGTCCATTGGTACAGGTTTCATTAGTTGAAAGAATAAAGCTTTTGCATAAATTTCCCTCACTTGAGTTCTAGTGATATTATATACCTTGAAAAAAATATATATGTGTATTAAATATATTTTATTTATTTATTTAGTTTTGGGACTGGGGATTGAACTCAGGCCCATGTGCTTGCCAGGGAAGCGCATATTCTATTGAACCATCACTCTGGCCCTTCTTCTTCTTTTTCTTTTTTTTTTAAATATTTCTTTATGAATCATTCTAAAGCTCTTAAAAAGCATAGGCATTTTCATTTTAGTGTGTATTAAAAACTTTGGCTTTTTTACACTTGTAATCTTTAAAAATAGTTGCAGATTAAGAATTGTTTTTCCTCTCTGAAATAAACACAAAGCCAGATCACATAAATGGTAAATGAGAAAGATGATAGCATTTAATGGATTCAATTTTAGATGTCTTCATAAAGTAGGAATTTTCTATTCTTCAGCATATAGAAAGAACTGGAAATTTTATTGTTCTTGGATTATAACAAGAACCATTCATTGTTACTTCTTTTTCAGTATTTCTACAGTTGACCAATTATTTGGCTATGGGTTTGTTTTTCTTATTTTTGAATTTTGAGTTTGTATTTGTTTTTGGTGAACTTATATTTACTCTGTTATATGTTCCATGGCATGAAACAAGCAACATTATTTTCTTTGGAAAGCAGTGATATTTTTTATGCACTGAAGATGATAAGTTTTAACTGTGATGACCACTATCTTAGTTATTTTTATTCTCTTTATTCAGACAGTGAATCACAAGATAAAGGAGGAAAGGTTTATTTTGGCTCACAGTTTGTAGAACTTGCATTGCCTAGTCAGCTGGCCTCAAAACAGGAGAAACAGTTCATGGTGTAGCAAGCAGAAGGTAGTAAGCAGCAGCAGTAACCTTTCATCCTTTATTCTATAAAACTTTTGGATGATGCCACCCACACCCAGGGTGGGGCTTCTTGGCCACACCCACAACTATGCTAATCCTAATCAGTGGGCTAATTTAGCATCACATACTCTTAATGCCAGTATCACATGCCAAAACTAGCCAACTCAAAAAAGCCACACCTGTGAGCCCATGAGACTGTGTTGACATTTAGATATAAGCCAGAACTACTGACAAAACATGGTCTATAAATGTTGGAAGTATTTGTCCTTGTTTTTGGAAGCTTGAGATATCTCCTTGAAGAACTGAGGTAAAAAAAAGAAAAAGAAAAAGTAGCCCTAAGGCATCAGTAAGATTAAACCAAGAGAAAAGGAGCGTGCTTTCTCTGCATAGGAAAAGGGAGCAGCCAGATACCTGTACAGAGGACTGTGGTGAGAATGAACTGACAAAAGAGCAGTAACACCCAGAATGGAGGGTCCTGGTCTGAGGTGAGACTGGAGAAGTGGATGTTTCTGTTTAAGCACAGTGACAGCCACTAGGCCTGACAAAAATTGGAGGTGATAGTAATGTAGGGGTAGGTAGGAAGGAAAGAAACAGAATCCAGTTCAAATTTCGAAAAGTCACTCTGGCTAATTATAGAAATAGACATGTTGAAGGTTAACCTAAAGGACAGGTAAACAAAATTTTTATTATATTTCAGGTAAACAAGAATATACTTTGATCCAGTGTAATGATGTGGAGAGGAATAAAGTTCATGAGTTTGAGAGCTTTATTCCTGATGTAAAATGACAGGGCTTAGCACTGCATAGGATTTTGTAAATGAGGAGTAGGCATGTCTAGTGAGATACATGTTTCTGACGGTTGTGCTCGGAGCCTCAGAAAGATGTGTACTTTTTTAAAGTTTTGCTGTTATTAAATGGATCCACCCATGAGAGTTACCAGTATGTGCAACTCAAATACATAACAGCAGGCTGGGGAGATGAGAGATGCTGTGTGGAGGGCTGGGCTGCATCTGCTCTGGCATCACTTTTTGAATTTCCCTCAAAAGAGTAGTGAGGAGAATATTTGTCATTATAGAGCATATAAATACTGTTTTCTAATTGAAATTTTGTGTGTGTAAAAATTACCAGAATTCATTTGACCCAGTATCCATTCTGTATGTCCAAAGAAAACAGTCTGTGGAGGAATAAAAACACTTAACATTATATGACTAGGAAAGTAGACATCTTACGTCCAAAGTAGAATAAAATACTATAGTATCAAGTAGAGGCTGTATTGAATTTAACCTACACAGGGTGAAAAGTTGTGTGTAAGCACACTAACACTGTAAAAATCATTGCTAGAAATATTTAGGGCACAAATAATAGAGTAATTATACTATTTCCAAGAAATTATGGGGGATTGAAATTATACAACTAGATCTGGCTTTACTAAAATGGCAAATTGTCATTATACTATAGGTTATAGAGTGAAAACCAAATTTAGCATCTATAGTTTTTATTGTTTTATATATTCTATATGGATGCTATTAAAATTTTGTGGAAATGAAAGCTTTATTAGATCCTGATATTAAAGAGAAAAAGCAAAATTAATTACTTTGAACAAAAATTTTAGTAATTTTACTTTGAGTAATATTAACTACATGGAAGAAGTAAGCTATAGAATAAATTAGGTCTCTGTTGAACAGTAGCAGTTTTGGTTTCTGTTTGTTTTTCTCAAAAGTGAGTCTTAGGTTAGTCATATGCTAAAATATATTAAAGTTTTGAAAATGTATTTAAACTTTTTTTTTTACTAATACATGTTTGAGGTAGAAAAGTACATTTTGTGGAGGCAACAGAAAAGAATTAACATGTATTATGTATGTATGCAAACTTCCCACATACAATGAATTAATAATTATTTTTATTTATGTTGGGCCAAAGAATGTTACTTTTAATTTTTCACCAGTAGTGTCATGTAACCTCTTAGCTGAAAATATTCCAGTGTCAAATGGTTAATGACTTTGGCTCATTTCCCCCAATTTTGTAAATGTGCCAATTTTCCAAATAGATACTGATATGTTTATATAAAAGATAAAGACTGACCAACTTTTAAGGTTCTAGCATGTCCTTTCCTAGAAAACAATCTTTCAAATTTCAACTTTAGTTTGATTTTATATTACATTTATTGAAATTTAATTTCTTACTTTGCTTTTCTTAATATCTTCTTTCTGCTTTGTATTTCCTTCCGTCTTTCCTTTACAAGTTGAAGCTACTTTCCATGCTGACTTGTATTATAAAATAATGAACGTAGTTTGGGGAATGAACAGTTCAGTTAATATTGTTTTATAACAAACAGCACACCTTGTTTTCCAGTTGCAAAGCTAATGTATTGCACTGCTTTATTTTATTTTATTTACTTAACAATTTTTGCTTTTGAGGCAG